TGATTAAAGATTCTGGGCCCTGTTTTCATTCCGGGCGCAAGTTATATTCATTTTACCCTGAAGATACATTTTTAGAAACACCCCTCATTGAATGGCATGAAATCATGTCTGCGGACTGCTTGCATTGTGAAAGTGTGACTATGTGCAAGGGTTGCGATATGGTAGATAGGACAATATAAAAGTGACTGAGAGTATCTTCTTGCATGAGACAAAGCCACCTTGTCAACAAAGGTAAATCCAAGCTAGTTTGTCTGTACTCAGCACCTCCAACAGAAATTGTGCTTCACCTTCACACTTTCAATCAGTTTTTCTATCATCGAGATGTCACATTAACATACACGCATGCACTCATGCCATTAAAAATAGATGGCATCTTGCAGATGGGCATGTTTGTGTGTGAGTAAACACATACACAGGCACAGACTTTCTACTCCCTCCTCTAGCACCTCTCAAACCTATTATTGGCAGCAGTTCAGTGACGGCTGTGTGACTGCCAGTACTGCGGATCTGCTCCTGGAGCGAGCTCTCCCCATCAGCGCTGGCTTGATTACCCTGATGTATGCACACCCAGACACTTGACAATCTCTCAGCATTTACATATGCAGGCTCAGCACTCCACACTACTTCTGATCTGAGGTGGATGTGTGTGTGTGTGTGTGTGTGTGTGTGTGTGTGTGTGTGTGTGTGTGTGTGTGTGTGTGTGTGTGTGTGAGGATGTGTTTGTGAGATTTAGTGTGGAGGTGCGCACAATAGTGCGGCTGTTCACGAGGCAAGTGGGGAATGGTGAAGAGAAATGACACTCCTCGCTTGCTAAACGTAAAACAAACAAACTTTAATCAGATGCCGAGCTCCTGCTCTTCAAAGACTAGAGTGCAGTTGGAAAGCGAGAGAGAGAGAGAGAGCGAGAGAGAGAGAGAGAGCGAGAGAGAGAGAGAGAGCGAGAGAGAGAGAGAGAGCGAGAGAGAGAGAGAGAGCGAGAGAGAGAGAGAGAGCGAGAGAGAGAGAGAGAGCGAGAGAGAGAGCAACGGCTCACCTCAGGGTGTGCAAGTCGTAAACACACAAGCAGAGCATTTACCAGTTTCCCTGTTATTCACTCTCATGTCAAACACATAGCACTCAGAACTAACGCACGCACAACCGGGGATTGAGCGGTGTTAAAATCCTCACAAAAGCATGTGCTTGACTGATGTTTTTCTTTCATTTCAAATGAAAAATCATCATAAAAACAAGCCTCCTTTCCCCAACAAAACATCATTCAAAAGGCCCTGCCTCTTCTTCTTTCCTTTCTGCCGTCTCTGTCAACGTGAGGGAAGCGTCGACGCGAGGCAGAAGCGGAGAAATAGAGGCGGCGAGAGAGGAGGTCTAGGGAGTTGCACCGTGTCGATCCTTTTTGGCTGGCGGTTCATAGGCTCGGCTGATCATCATTAAAACGCACACAACTTGACATGTTTATTTAATAGCTGCTCGCGGCAAAGACGGCAAGCTGCTGCTATCTCTCACCGTCACATGTTGATATGTGCCACGTCTGCAGAAGTGGATGTTGACATTTCTTTAATCCCCCCCCCCCCAAAAAAGGACCTTTAAATCAATATGTGGCCCGTAATGTTACATTTAACTGCAAATTGACACTCTTCTGGATGACAAATGACTGGTCAAGTCACTTCTTTTAACCATGAAGAGGTTGCGGTCGTCACTTCCCATGAATGTCAAATTGAAAATCAACACGGATATCTAGCTTCTCCTAATTCCAGCAGTTAGCGTCCATGTCTTCAGTTAACGGGCAAGTATCACACTGACTCTCTCTTGATTTCTGTATTGATCAGCTTCCACCACCACAAAAAAAAAAACAAAAAAACAACTATTGCAGTGGCTGGCAATCCACATGCAACACACGATGAGAAAGAAAATAGTTTATGGAATACTGTCCTGATCTGTGTTTCTGTTGATTAGATTTGTATTTGGTATTGTCTGATGTCATGTCTTATTTTCTTGTGCTTGTCAACCCGGTCCCTTGTGTCTTACAATCCGCTCCTTCAGCCACTTGCGCCTTGTCTAGGTGTCCCTCTTTTTTCCGTCAGATTACCGGCACTAGTATTTAGTTCCCTGTATTCTTGATAATTCCACACTCCTTGTATCCCTTTTCGGTTACATTTGAAAATAAATATATTTTTTGAGGATCTCTTGCCATGCCATTTAATTGACTAGTAGAAGCAATAGCCTGTTTATATTTAAATTTAGTTTTTTTCTAATTCAGTGATGGCTTATCGCCCTGACTTAAATAAATAATAATAAATATTGTGTGATGGAAGTTTTTCACCCTCGACAAGGTGTTGCCTTTGATTGAAAAGTCATCACATACAATTTACATAGGCACACGAGACACGTAAGCCGTCACAATTAATAACATCTTATACAAGAGCAGCACAAAATGATATCAACCCAATAATATCACTACTACTAAATTCTAGGTTGTTAAGGTAAGGTTTCTAATATTTGGACCGACACCTTTCACTATCGTGCAGGGGTAGGGAACTCCGGTTCCTCGAGAGCAAGATCCTGTCTGTTTTCGAGTTCTCTCTACTCCAACACACCTGATTCAATTGATCATGAGTTTAAGGCTTCTCCAGAGCTTGCTGATAAGATGATCGTTTGAATCAGGTGTGTTGGAGTAGGGAGGGATCTAAAACAAGCAGGATATGGCTCCCCAGGAACCGGAGTTCCATACCCCCCGGTATGGTGCATTGTGGATGCACACGAGTGCCATGCTACAGTGTTACATTTGTAATATATGTCAGATTCTTTTTTTTATATATTTGTGGCCTACAGGAAGTCTGAAAAGAATATTCTTTATTTTTTAATGGCACCATTCACTACAGCATTGTCACATTTCTAAGAATAAGAATGTATAAAAGCGCAAGTAATTTTACTGCCAAGTACTGTTTACCTATTACCAATTACACTGTGAAAGTATGAACAATGCACCACTCATTTGTCTGAATGTGTCAATCACTGTGTCAACGTCAAGGCTATTGCTACAATTGAAGCTAGCTGCATGACAGAATGCCCACTGTGAATGTCTTTCATTGTGCAGTTCATCATCATGTGAAAAAAAAAAAAAAAATACAATAAATAGATAATATGGTGCGTGAGTGTTAATCTTCGTTAAAGTGGTGGGTAAAACAAAAGTTGAGAAAGCAAAACATGTCTGTCATTTCTGACTCAAATAAAACAATGCAGATGTGTGTATGAGTGAACAAGGTGACACCTTTCCTTTTTTGTTTGATTGCATGTTTCAATGAAGTTTTGATGAAATATTAATGCTGTGTTCCAAAATGCCTTGTCAAGGATCCTCCATCTTTGACTTCTCCATCTGTGGCAGCTCCAGGTTAGCATTAAGTACGTATGTTGCCGTTGTCATCAGGGAACCAGGCTGCTCCATGTGTTGAGCTGTCAACCACATCCAGCACCACTCCGCCCTCTTTCATTCCCCACTGACATATCTTAAAACTCAGTTTTGTGGTCCAATGTTGAAACCGGGCAGCTTTTTGTCTGTCTTAGTGCGGTAAATCCTCTCCTTTTTGTTGAGCTAGTTATCCGGTGCATCTGGCTAACTCTTGTGACCTGCCACACCGTGGTGGATTGGATCCTGCCCAACTTTTCCCCCATCGATTCCCATCCAGGAGTGCTGGCTCCCTTACGGCTTCGTTTTGCTCTGAAAATCCACGTGGCTCCTTCGACTCATCTATCGAACTCCTTCTTCTGCAAAGGTCATCGTCTGGTTGGAGGGCTCGAGATTTCATTGCCTTCCCTCACGGGGAGTTGTATTTTGTTTATTTTCTGTTATCGGTTTGGCTGGCAACTAAGGAGCAAGAACTGCTCAAAGACGGCTGGGATAGGTCCAGCATACGCACGACCCTCGTGAGGGTCAGATAATGGATATATGTATGTATAGTCAAGACCACACTAACCAAGATCAAGACATTGTCCCACGGTGGTGTTATATGAAATATGATGACATCCACCACACACATCCACGGAGCTCATACTACCGGAGACAAATTCCTTGTGTGTTTTACCTACTTGTCCAATAAAGATGATTCTGATTCCGGTTCCGATGATGAGCATTGAATCTGTCTGCCTGAGCCGCGATGAAGTACACCAAAATCACATTAGACCACCTGCGCTGCAAAATAAACCTCCTTTTAACCAGTTTAAAATGTAGTCGGCTTTTTGGAGCCAAATTTGAAGAAGTGCCGGGGGGCAAGGCAGAAACGCAGCTGTGAGATGTAGCGCGTATACCAAATTCGCAAATGCACTGAACTGAACCATTGCCCATGCACGAAAATTATGAGGCGCACAATTCTACGTTGTGTTACCAAATTGTCGGATGGGTCGGAATGAGGCAACTCCATGCGCCGAAACGCCCGTATGGGTGCAACACAGCTCCAATCATGCTAGACTAGACTTGGACTGGCACAAAAATGAAGTTACGCCCTTTGCATGACTGGGGAGTGGAATCTCCAAAATTGAACACGACTGATTTGAAGTGAATTGGTTGAACTTCCAAGATTTCATCTCAAACCCATTTTACCCTAATTGAAATCATGTAAAAAATATACCTTTATTAACATGAACCCTTTCTTAAATTCTTGGCTGTATACTGGAGCAGCATGATCATACAGCTAGCCACAATAGGTTCTATTACTGGTTCTGTTGTCATCACAATTCAAGTGACATCAAACAAAAACAAAAAAAAAAGCACAAAAAAAGACATGCATTCTTTTGATGCTTCCTAAATTGCTCGGGACTTCCCAACTTCATGCATGCATATGTTTTGCTTGACTTGTATTTTTGTAGATTGTTTTGAACTCCAAATCGTATCACTTTTGGGGAGGTTTCACTGAATGACATCAACATTTAGTGGAGTGATCCCCCAGAGCCAAAAGGCAACACTGCCTCTCTGGGCTCCCCCCTCACAACAGTCCAACCCATGACATTGACTATTGGATGAATTTTCTCAGGCTCTTACTTGCTATACACAGGCTGGGGTCCTCCTCGCGTATCCGTCGGACCTGCGACTCCAGGAAGAGGCGGAAGTTGATTCCACGAACTTGAGAGGGGAAGGAGAGGAAGCGAGGGGGAATGCGCACAGTCAGCTGCGGGTCATCGCAGCCGAACCCCAACTGCCACAGCATCTCTTCGGCATCCTCCGAACGTGACTGGAGCACCTCTGAAACACTGGTGTGAGAGAAAGGAGGGATCACTTACCATAAGGGGATCAAATCACGCTCAAATGTACAGTACTGTATACGGACAGACCACCACATTAGGTACAAGAGTAGTACTGTATTTAAAAAGAAGTATTTAACATTTTGTGGCTGGAGCTTTCAACGGTGCCAAAAGAACAGATGGAACATTGACTCTTTGAATTTCTTTTATACAAACAGTTGGGTATTTGAAATGCCACCCATCAAAAGTAATTTTGTTTTGTCATCTACCTTATTTCTTAAAATTTTGAGAATTCAGAAAATCTGTACAAAATTAAACCAAATAAATCCAGATATTGATTGTAATTTAGCACGCTAGGACAAATAGGTTTCATTATTACTTGCTGGTGAGGTCAATGTGTCTTTCGTTGCTGGCAGGGTGCATTGTACGTCTTCAGACTCGGCATGGAATACCAGAAAGATACTTTTTTTACCTTGAAGGGTGAGTACAAGGACTGATTGAGTTCAATTAGAATAAATATAATGGCATCACAGTTCAAAACAACGCGCGACTGCATTTCTCACTCACCCCACTTTGGATGCAATGTCTCCCACCGTTTAACGTTGAATATGAAATGTAGTTTGGAATGCAAAAAAGGAAGGAATGTCAATGTGCATCTGGTAGATAAGTGCCCCTGCTCATCCGCGTGTGTGTGTGTGTGTGTGTGTGTGTGTGTGTGTGAGAGAGAGAGAGAGAGAGACAGAGACAGAGACAGAGAGACAGAGAGTGATGAGATGTTGCACCAGGCACTCTGCTCAGTTAGTAAGCGTGGTGCACATACAGCGAATCGGGTTGGATTTGAGCATCCCCCTTTCTTACTCGACCAAGTATGGCATATCTCCGAAACATTATTCTTCTCTGATTTGCATGGCCGGTGGGTGGGCTTGGCTGGGTGCTTCGGCATCAAAGGTTTTGAAAAGGATTTTATTTATAATACTCAGTATATTATATTATATATAATATATT